GTATTTTTTTTTCTCAAAGAAGGAAGCCCTAAAATAAATTACGCCGTGTGTTGCTTCTGGGGGTTGCTTCTTGTGTACGGGAGGCTGGTAGGTTGCTGCAAGACCTGTCGTTTTGTCGTAATTAGGTTGCAGTAACGGGACTCGTCGCCAATCACATAAGGAATACGGACTTGTTTATTAGAAAACCCTCAAATAACGTTAGAAACTGCTCTCGTATATTGGGTTAACTTGCACAAAGAGCCTATTATAGTCATGGTGGCCACATTTCGTCGCTCGTGAATCGGCAGCAATGAAGGACGAGCCTCCGACTCCGAGACACAGCGTGCCCCGCCGGTTGTCTCGTCCGCGACGAGCTAGCGTGGACGATGAAATAATTGCGACGCCGACTGCAGTGCGTGCTGCTGCCCGAGCAGCTCTGAAAGAAGAGGAAGTCCGGCCAGCGGCGATAGAAACACCCCGCCAACCTGCCAAGCTTATTCCAAGGCCTCCACCCGTGCTGATGTCGCGAGACTCGAGCGCATCAGTAGCCAAGACATTCCTTACTGCTATAGTGCCGGGGAGGCGACGTTCACGACGACAAAAGGAAGTGCTGCGACCCCCGTCGCCACTAGACTCAGTGCAGCCGCCCTGCGACTATGTCGATACTGGTAGCATGTCCGAGCTACCAGCACCAGCCAACTACATGGGGATGCAGGCTATGCAGCAGTTTTGGGATATTTTCCACCGCCAAGAAACAGTCCACAACAACAAGGCTGTGCCTCCCACGGTGCCTTCTGTTGTACCACGTCCCAAGTCTGCGCGCACCAATTACCTCGCTGCCGTGCGTAACCTTCGATTGTGTCCGGAACCTCTGGGTATTGTACGGCGTCGAGTTGTGGACAAAACGGCCTCCTATGCAAATGGCAGTACAGTACAAGAAGTGAACCTCAGCAGTTATCGGATGGGAAATGCTTACGCAGAAGCGTTTGGAGAAGGGTTTTCGCTGCTGCCAGGTGTTGAATCGCTCAATCTTACGCATAACCGAATCGGAGACTTAGTCGCTTCCAGGCTAATCACAGCGGCCGCCGCAGCCGCAGGTGCCCAGGGCACGGCAGGGTTGCAACAACTCAACTTGTCGCACAATGCGTTGGCGACGGCTTCTTCGCGAGCGCTCTCTGAGTTAATGCGCCGTTCGCGTGCACTTACGTCGCTAAATCTATCGCATACAGGACTGCGTGACCGTCAAGTGCAGCAGCTTTGTGAGTCGCTCACTATGAACCAGACCGTCGTGCGCTTACACCTTTCCGAAAATCGCTTCGGGGCA